AGATTCAATATTTGAATATGTTGATTCACATGGAGTTGTGAAGAAAGTTATGTCTCTTTTGTCCAAGAAAGTACCATTTCATCCAAAGTATTGATAAATAAATGATATAATGTTGCATTTTCAACTATATAAAAAAACTGTATGATTGTTCATTTTACATTCAAGCAATATATTAGTCAATATTTATGCTTATGTTAGTGCATACATCCATTGATGTTTGATATTCGTTAATATCATATTTGTATGTATATCTATAGAAACGTTTAATTCATATGAATTTACAATACTTTTAAGAACGGACCATGATGTTAAATCAACATCAAAAAATGAATTATTGACTTTTAACTTTATATGATTTAAGGATAAGTTTTTAAATTATAAATCATCAACTTTACATATCATTACTTCTCTCAACTTCAAAGCATCAGATTTTGCTCTTTTATGCATGAATGTGATTTACATATTTATTCATAATTAATCAATTACATCATTTACATGACTATCAAATTTACGATATGTCATTCGAGATATTTAAAGGAAGCGGCTAGTTATACTTGAGTTTATACTAATTATCCTTTACGCTACAAAAAAGGTAGTGGCTTTAACTTCTAAAACCAATCCTTATGTTGGACTCCATATTTTATTTTTTTGCGTTTCCAACCGATCAAAATGCTTGACTTCGCGTCATAACAAATGAGCATTTTAGATTGTTTATCAATTTAAGTCATAAATTCCAGACGGTGTTTATCAAAAGTATTTTTGTTTCACTCTGATCAATCAATAACTCACTTTTTGAGCAATTTGTATATTTTTTATAGAGTGAGGAATAATAAAGATAAATTGAGTTATAACTAGCCACTCCATATTTAAAATATGTCAAAGAAGAATTCCAAAGCTTCATCGTCTATTAAGCATAAAGTAATATTAAAGAGATATATAAGTTATGCACTTTTCTTTTGTGAAGCTACAAGTTGACATCAAAAACCCATGTTACGAAAAAGAATCATATCTATAAACACCAAAAGGTATTGTACATATAAATGTCAATCAATTCACATTGATATTATATCTATAAAAAGATGGTATTATTATGACATGACATGAGATTTGAAAAAAATGTGCGAGTCTTATATTAAGATATTTATTTTAGTGTATATTTAATTTATAAAAATAAATGACATATATATATTATTTCTTTAGATATGATTCAATATGTTTTTTTATATTATCAATTTAAATATGAAATTATTCAGAGATAAACTGAAAAATATAGACTGTATAGATTGAAAAGTATGGTCTATACAAAAATGATGTCACTCGAGTTAGGTCAAATTCACAAAATGACATGCGGTTTGAATCTAGAGTTAGTTCTAATTATATGGTAAAAATTTATTTTTAATTTAAAAAGACGTTAAAAAATATGGCAAGAGTGGCAAAATTAGAAAGATTGTTGTATAAAGATCAAAGTGGATGATAATCTTTTAGTCTATGTGGTTTAAAGTACTGATCTTCAAGATGATGATTTGCTTGACAATGGACTTCGAAGTTAATAATATGCTTTATGTAGTTCACTAAAAAATATTGAATTTGTATGTATTGTGAAAAGTCTCCGGTTGATGATTAGAGATTATACTAAAAAGAAAGGTGTCGATCATAACAAGGTTATTTCACCTACACAATATACGTTAAAATTTAAATATATACGCAATTGTTAAATTTGTAGTTTGGTTATGTTGAGTTGAATATATTTACAAACATTTTCTAAAATCTTTAAAAGAGCAACATTACTTAGACAAGCTATTGGCCTCTTAAAATAGTTTGAAAAATTTGGCTTTCAAATTGTACAATTATTGTAAGGATGGAAGCAAACTCATAAACAATGAAATGCAATGTCTGATGAGTGCATGAAAACACAAAGGTTTTTAATGGAGTGTGGATAATTTATTTGTTTACATTGAAAAAAGTAATAATGATATTTTTCAATTCTTTATTTAAAAAAATACATGTCAATGTCATGATAATTTTGGCAAAAAAATAAATGCTTGGTAATCAATTGAAAATGCATTTGAATGTAAGTATCTGGATAATTCCAAGAGTATATTAGTATTAGATGTTTAATACAATCTAGAAGATATTATGGTTAAATCTAGATAAGTATATTAAGTTTGTGCTTCACATGTTTAGCATGACAGATCTCAAGAAGAATGAAATCTTTTGTTTTCACAGTTTAGATTTTGCACACCTTAACATTAAAGTAATGTCATTGAAAAGTGAAAATATAATTAATTCCCTATTACAAAGCAAATGATTATACTCATGTATTTAATAATATGCACTAAAGTGTATATTTCTATAGATATGATCAAGGTGAGCAAATACATGTCAAATTCAAGAAATATGTATTAGAAAGCTGCAAAGTGAAATCTTATATAACTCAAAATACTAAAAATTATAATATTCTGTTTGATGATTTATTAAACAATGTTTAATTTTGTTATGATTATGCACAAAATTTACACAAGAATAAATCCAAAATTGAATATGTGATTACATTTGGTGTGTGTAAAACCAACTTCAAAAATGGTTGTTCTACACACATAAAAAAAAAAACATTCGATGCTTCTACAGAAAGTCGTTCATGTATCAGTTAACAACACCCGGTGCTTGAGAAAATTGTAGTTGAAGTGAAAATGAAATCCCATTAACTGCCTATATGTTTGAAGTTGGCATTATTTGAGGTTTTTAGATATTTGAAGTTGGCGGTTCTACTTATCTTCGAATATCTAAAAATCTCATATAATGCCAACTTCAAACATATATCAAGACATAATAGTTCATGTGGATGATATCTTAAGATATTTATTGTGATAGTTGTGTAGTGGTACAGTTTTAAACACAAGGCATGGTCAATTCTAACATAGTTCATGCTTTATCCAAGATATTTCATCGCTGCAATCATCCAAATCAAAATCGTTCGTTAAATATTATGATTCCTGAACTATAAGTATGTATATACTCACAATAGAAAATAATCGAGTGCTGAAAATCTTTTAAGAGCTTTCACGTCCCATAGTGTAAACTGGACCTTAGTGTTGATGTAACCCACAATAAAATAAAGTCAATATGTGTATTGTATCATGTGCCAACATATCCAGAAACCAAAATTATGTCTACGTTGGTGGTAGAATAATGGAGGAAACTTATGGAATACATGTAGACATGAAGTCAAATTACTTTTAATTAAAAGCTAATTGAGATGCTAATTAATTTGATTATTTTGACTGGTGTATACAGAAAGATTGATGATGTAATATATAAACCCCTAATTGATAATATCAACAATTTTCTATATTTTCACCCTAGTTAAAAATGTACATGTGAAAATATTGCCCATGAGCGTACAGAAATCAATTTAATCTGCAAAAATAAAAAGTGTGCAAATAGATAGGACACTTTGCAAAGTATGTAGAGATAAATACTATATACTAATGGTAGTGAAACTCTAGCTAACACAATAAATATAAAGAAAATCAGCTTTAACATCTCTTCCACCAAATTCAGTTAACAACTATTCATCCTCCGTTACATGAAGAAGAGCAAACGTAATAAGCTCTAATGTATGATTAACCTTCAGAACTTCTCCCAGTCTCGCGTTTTTTAATCAAAGTCGTGGTGGTTTGAGACACAGGTCATAAGGAATGTTACACGAGGACAACACTGGAGCCAGTAGAAAAGCTCTGCGCAGTCACTGGCCGCCTTTGAGGACTTCGGATTGGTTTTGGTGGGAAACAGTCACAAAGCAGTGACGCATTGTACTCCATTCCACTGTTCAGTTCTTCCTCAAGAGCATCAAACTTCGACTCATGTTACCAGAATGTAATCGCTTCAGCTCAAATTCGTTCAGATGATTCGAATTTCCGGAAATCACCAAACTGAAAAACACCTTTCGATTACTACATCACTGTACACTTTTTCTCCCCTGCAGGTTGTGACGAGGCCCTGGACTAAAAGCGGCCTCTTTTACGGCTGATCTGGAAAGTGACCTTCCATGCGAGGAAACGTCCGACAAGCAATTACGACTCACGCCGCTTGACCAATTTCACTCTACCAATTTCAGTTTGCAGGCGATAAATAACACGACCGTCATCGCATATGCATTCTTTCTTCTTACTCGGCATCATCACTGCTCTCTTCCTCACAGCAGCTTCCATTTCCAATTCGATCACAGCAGTGATCAGCCGCCTTTGGCGTCGCCGCACTACGAACGTGATTCGGTAAAGGGGCCACGTGAAAGGATCGAACCAAGCAACGTTGGGGCACACGATCTGTTAACAATGCATCCGATTATTCCACACTAAAGGTCATTCGTTCCCTCCAGTGAGGAATACAAAAACTGTAGGAGTCCAATAGTCCCGCTGCAACCCTTCCACACCCGAAAACTTCTTCCATACCACTGCCCCATGCTATAGTGTACTCCTATGTCTATGGACACAATGCTCGAAAGGTGTGGCTGACAGCGAGTGCATGGGAGCCGCTGGTGGTCTGAAATTACGTGAAACTTAAAAGCCGCAGGTTCTGTCTCGTATTTAGGGCCTTAGACAACGTTGCCACTAGGTGTCATCATTTGGCTTTGAACATGGAGATCATCCCGGCACATGAGAAGGAGTGGGTTCACACACGCCTCGAGCACACTCACAAATCACTCAAGATTCTGCAGGGGGTGTTCAGCACTGTGACACACTGGGAAAGTACATCATCCTCTACAATTGAGCACCATCTACGGACAACATCGAGATGGACGGACTCGGCGTTTGCGTCCTATCCAACAGAGAATAATCAGCAGGGTCATGTTCTGTGTCAACAAGTCATGGAAGAAAGAGAAGACCGTGGAAGAAGCATCCCCAGACTGCTGCTGAGGGGATGAGATAAATAGGAAGAGCTCCATCAGCCAAAATCTCGTTTACTGAAATGAAAGCAACCGACTGTAAGAAGAAACCAGGCCTCCGCAACAAAAAAATCTGATAAGAATCACTGCAACAAGGGCATTCACTGACATAGTCTGAACTCTTTTCTTTTTTTTCTTTTTTTTTAGGTTTTGGTATTATAGCTTATAGAAATTCGAACAATACAGCAGAAACACTTACGGCATGACTGTTGAGCATACGGCAGCCTTAATTGCTGACAGAAACTTTGAGTGCACAGTAGGGCCATCAAAAAGTTAGCAAGAGCGCGTATATGTCATGCATCAACTCCTTGATCCGGGCAACTAATTTACATACAAGTGAAGCAAGTGGAAGCTTTTCACAACTGCATCCACCTGTAATTTATACAAGAGAACTCGTCACTCCACTCAACAAAAAATGGTGGAAAGAATGAGACGAGTCTCAAACTGCTTCTCTAAATTCCAAGAAAGCAGCAAAAGCAAAATCAAAAAGTGAACACGGGATTGGCGATAGATATATGGGCTTCTATGCTCAATGCATTCTCTCCATTCTGCGGACGAGATGCCTGTAACATTGTACATCATAGTGCAGAGCGAAAAGAGAAAAGATACAGAAGGAAACACGGGAAGTGGTGGAACAAAACTGATGATAATCCACATAGACTTCTCTCGAAGTCTATTTGTGACATGATTTCAACTCTCAACCCGTCCGTGGTCGCATCACATGTGGCGGCTCGTCGACTGCAAGGTATTAACGAGCTGCTTCAAACCTTCTCCGATACTACACAAAGCACTGATGTACCCTTCACCGAGCTTCTGGTTGAGTTCTAGACTTTCCCTGTGTCTCTGCATGTTCATCTCCATGGTTTCGCGGTGCCGTTGCAAGCTCAGCTCCAACTTGTCCCTGTGGCGCTTATCCTTCCGATCTTCGCACTTCATCATGGCAGCCACCACATTCTTGTTGTTGCCCTCCAGAACCGACCCCACCCCGTCGACCGTTTTCGAGTGCAATTTCCGCTTGAGACCGGAAGTGCGATTGTCGTTCGTTCCCTCACCCTCGATGCCAGAGAACTCTCCGTTGCTCCCGGCCATGGAGCTGGAGTTGCCCGTTCGCGGGGGAGTGGAATTATCCACCAGAAGGTCGCCCTGGTCGATGGTCTTGCTTTTGAGGTACCATTCGAAGAGAGCGCTGAACACTTCCTTAGGGAGGTTGGGCGGCAATTTGGGAGTCTTCTTGCGCTCCTCCGGAATCATGAGCCAGTAGGATTTCTGGCCGATGGGGAGGTTCCGCTCGTAGTCGAGAACCTTTTTAAATTCCGGCACCAGGGACTCCCACTTGTCCTGGCACTGCTGCGCGCTGCGATGAATAGCGTGGCCCCAGCAGATGTCTTCAATCCAGAGCCATCGTTCTTGGGCCGTCTTGTGCTTCTCTTTGAGACCGCCCTTGCTGTGCCTCTCGAAATCCTCGCGTTTGGCAGCCTGCAGGACCATGACCTCGGGCACGGTCCAGGCTCCCTTCTTGTAAACTCGCCCTTTCCTCGAGCCTGCATGGCCAGGCTCTTCGTACACGACGTCCTCGTCCACACTCATCGCACGATGATCTCCCGCCAGTACCTCCGAAGGATGCTCACCCATCACCGAGCCAGCCACCTGACTCAGAGCTAGACCATGGCTCAGCGTCCTCCCTCCTCCCCCACCAGTGCTCCAAGAATACTCCACCTCCTGCTCTGCAACCAACGCCCTAACTTTCCGAATCAACCCACATCTCTTGCACAACCAAGCAGCACCAGCACCAGCAGCCCCCCACCTGTCCCGCTCAGCCCTCCCTCCCTCTCTTCCACCAGCCCTGCCCTGCCCTGCCCTGCCCTCCCTCACTCCGTTCCTTTCCCGGCCCCTGGCTGCAGCGAAGGAAGAAGAGAAAGAACAAAGCGAAAGAAGACGCTTGCAACGAGGAAACAATTGCGCCACTCACTTACACCCTCGCTCGCCCGTTCGCTCGCTCGCTACCCGACTCACCACCATCCACCCGACCAACCAAGCGCTTTCAAGACTCTCGTGACAATTTACGCAAGGAGAAAAAGAAGAATCACAGACTGACTGCACTCAATTCTCGCTTGAAACGCACTTCTTGCTCGTCCGTCTTTGTCCCCAAAACCTCGAAACACATGATTCTCCATCCGGGAGCCCCGGCCACAGTCAGCCGCACTATCTGCTCTCACTCACAGGCACAGGCACGAGTCGTCTGCAAAGCAAACCAAAGCCAAGCAACGCAAAGCACAAAGCAAAGCGAGCCCCCACCCGCAACCGCAACGCAAAAGAAAGCACCCGCCCCGACCCAGGCCCGACCAAGAGAGCAGAGCAAGGGAGGCGAGGCGAGGCGAGGGCAGCAGGTGCTGCTGCTACTGCTACTGCTGCCGCTGGTACAGTCCAAAGCACGCACGAGGGTACTGTACACAGCTACTCCTCCTTCTTCTCGTCGACTCGCACTTTCGAGTGCTCTCCAGTGGGGCCCTGCCCATACATACATACATTCAAACGGTGTCACTTAGTAAAAGGTTCTCCGCCTTTTCCATTCAATGTCCACTGCAGTGCCGTTCGGCCCATTCACTCTCGCCGTGTGCTTTCCCAAGATGATAGGAACTACCGCCTTTGCTCCCCCGCTGCCGTCCATTCCTCACATTCTACAAAAGCTGCTACCGTAGACGCAGGCACGCAGCCCGCTCTCGGGCCCCTCCCTCTCCTCTCCTCTCCTCTGCTCTGCTCCGCTCCGCGCTCGGGAGAGCTGCAACCCTCGGCCTCGGCAGACAGTATCTGCTACAGGTCCTCCCCTTCATTCATTCATTGATTTATTATCTGATTAGATAGGATCAGCGCCAGGGGAGAACAAGTCTCGGTATTCACGTTCCACTGTATCGAGCTCTCGTAGATCAGCAGCGGCCCCTCGCCCCCCTCGCCGATGCCCCGCCGCTTCGTACGGTCGAACCCGGATCGCCCGGCCGAGAGAGCGACGGAGCTCCTTCTGGCCTCTCCGACTGACCGGGCCTCCACCGTCCGGTCCGGTGGGACGGACGCACCGATCATTGTACTCGGGTCGTGGGATGGACGGAAGACACCCGTGGTCCCGATCTGTGCAAGGGACACGGGGATGGAATGCCCCCGGTGAGAACGTGAGCCGAGTCCTCCGGCCGACCCCCGTCCCCATGGGCCTACAGATTGTAGGGTCGCTCGCTTCAGCATTGTGCGACCGCGCACTTCCGAGAGAGCCTTACCGGCCGATTCCGGAACTCCGGTTATCCTCGGCCATATTGCTTGTCCTTTCTCTCTCTCTCTTCTCTCTTCTCTCGAGGACATTCCCCGTCGGATCGAGCGTGCACTCCGCGGATTTTCCATAGGACCTGAGGGAAGGACGACTGGAATTTATTTGTTTCCGCAAGCTCAGGAAACCGTGTTTACTTTTTATCCCGTCTCGTTCGCGCTCCGTCCCGATGGGACTTCAGGTCGACGGTTACCGGATTGGAGTTAGAGGGAACCTGGGAGTTAAGACCGAGGAGTCGCTTTCTTTCCCATCGCTGCCCTTCCCTCGGCCATTGCTTGGGTCCTGCGTTGCGCACGCACGAGCCAAAACACGAGCCGCAAACTTCACATGCGCGCATTGATACGGTAAACGCGACCACAGCTGGAGGGTTCTTGGGACTGGCTGCCCATAGGCTCCTCCGCCTCTTGTCCACTGGATTAGTTACTAAATTTGTTGCTGAATTCGTACAGGCCGAGCTCATCAAGCTCTAGCCGGAAGACAAGTGGCCAGAATTAGCGAGAGGGCCCTCTTGGAACTCTTCGGACACCTCTCGCCGAACCTCGTACGCATCCCCGTCCATCCGGACTCGACAGCGTCCACAGTTTTGTGAACCCGGTGGCGCCATCCGTCGCCCACCGAAGTTGTCCTAGAGTCCATCCCAGTGAGCAACTGCTAACGGGCAAAGCGAGAGCCAACTGACATTCAGAAAGGACAAAGTCGCCGGAATCACTTGCGTCTTCGCCCTCGACTCTCCAATTGAAAGGGAGGGGGGGAGAAGTTGTTAGGAGGGGGGGAAAGGTCGGTTTCTTTTGGGGCGGCTTGTCTTCTTTGACAAGGAAGCTCGGTTGACCGCATTTGCCTGACCCCGGGCTCTGTTATATTGCTATTGATTATATTGACGTCCATTAATTTATTCCTTCCGATTTCCTGCCCCCGAGCCCTAAACGAGGCTCGAGCGATCGTCGTCATGATGCGTCCTGTCGTTGTGGGCCGATTCCCACGCGTGGTACTTAGAAGCAGTGGATCGCATTCTGCTGTTAATGGAACGGAGAAGGTGAGCCACGCATGGATTCGTTAATGCGAAAGCTTATGGAATCATTATTGTGAAGCCATATTCCGCCCAAGGAACCCCCCCCTCCCCCAATTTCTCCGATGCAACGCGGCTCGACGTACGTTGATGACTCGTACGATGGACTACGGAGGTATCATCAGTTGGACGAGAAATACAGGTCAATGGTGACAGAAGTACATGGACCGTATCGGGATCCCCGTCCCCCAGTCTTGGCACATACGGCTCACCTTTTCCCTCGAGTTCTATCCGTCGAGGCCGAGGTTTGGTCGCTGGAGGGGGGGCCTCACTGGCTCAGACACGAGCGAGGATTACAATTGCGCCGAGGCTCGTCGAGAGCTTGTCTGCCTGCCTGCGGAGGAGGTGACGTTGGATTCGTGTACAGAATTCGGGGGCGTTTTCGGGTGGGGACGATGACTGAGCAGGCTGAGAATGCGTCTGCATTCGTTGGGTAGCGAGGGGCAGGCGAGGGGTGTGGAAAGTGGCCAGCAATTATGGAGCTCTGCTCGTGTAGCACCGCGGGACCGAGTTGCTTGCTGAGGGATTCATGCGGAAAGCAGGCGATGGCTTTTTCCAGAACTGTTTGCTTTTCTTCTTTCGGCAGAATTGGAATTCACCTCGACGGAGCGAGGAGCGTGTCGAGCTCCCGGCATAGATTGTGGGCTGCGGCGGGAATTGTTCGAGTGCCGTGGAGAAGCGATTCGAGGGCCGCGTCGTCGTCGTGGAGAGTGGGAGAAGGGGAAGCGAGGCTGGTGGTGAGTGGAAGGGCTGCCGGTACGGTAGAATTGGGGGTCTCGGACTCAGAGCTGCACTCGCGAGGCGAAGATGGCAGAGAAGAATTGGCGGTCGAACTCCAGCAGGATAATGAATCCGCAGAGGAGGAAGCCGGTCCCACGAAATCCGAAAGCAAACGAAATCGACGCGCTCGTCTCGAACGGGAGTTGCTGGAGCTGGGCACGAGCCCAATCGACGTGTTGATGTTGTCCGGGGAGAAAGGCTGGAGCACAGAAGTGTTCTGGACGATCGTAAACATTCTCGCAGTGAACGATCGAGTGCCCGAAGTCCTGCTGGTACATATGAGCTCCCCTTCACCATCCCAAGCATCCGGATTTTGCTCTCACTTTTATGGATGCATGAAAACCTAAATTCCACGAGGAAACAAGGACAATCAATCAATAATGCATCTATCAATTGGCATGTCTGCCCATCTGGATTCCATCGTCCTCACGAGCCGATGCAATGCAATGCAATGCTCGGGAACCACGGATTGATTCGTGCAAAATCTACTGCCCAGGTGTTCGAGTGGTGGAAGCGGCAGGACAATTATACTCCCCGAGAGCTGCACTACGCGAGGTTCATCCGGATGTGCGGGCACGCGAAACTGGTCGACAGAGCGCAGAAGCTCTTCGACGAGATGGTGAGCGTGGGGATCGAACCGACGGTGGGCACCTACAGCTGCCTGCTGCAAGGGTACGCCGAGGCCGGGCTCTTCCACGAGGCCAAGCAAATCCTCGAGGCCATGCTCGAGGCCGGGCTCAAGCCCAACGCCGTCACCTACACGGGCCTCCTGCACGCGTACGGGAAGCACGGGCTCTACAACGAGATGGCTAAGGTGTTCAACGACATGAAGACCTACCAGGCGACGCAGCCCGACTGCGCTCCGACCGCAGTCACCTACTCGGTCGTGGTTCAGTGCTACGGTAAGGGAGGGCTGTTCGCGCGGATGGAGAAGGCCTTCAAGGAAATGATCGCGAAGGGGTTCGCGCCCGACGCGGTTAGCGTGAACACGTTGGTCCAGGCGTACGCAGAGTCGGGACTGCTGAAGGAGATGGAGCGGGCGTACTCGCTCATCAAGCTGTACCGCGTCGGGATCAAGGTCGAGACCGTCCGCGCCGTAGCTCTGGCGTACATACGCAAGTCGTACTTTTACCAGCTGGGAAGTTTCGTCCGTCACGTGAAGCGGAACCGGACGAACATGGGGAACCTGCTGGAGAACCTTCTGCTGCTCTCGCAGGCCGCCAACTTCTCCATGCGCGGCCTGGCCCGGGAGTACATCCTTCTCAAGGATGCCGGATTCCGCGGCGACATTACGAGCTTCAACATCCGCGCGCTGGCCTTCTCCAAAATGAAAATGTTCTGGGACTTGCGCGTCACCGTGCTGGAAATGCAGCACCTGGCCGTCGTGCCGGATCTGGTCACGTACGGCGCTATCGTCGACGCTTATGTGGGCGCCGGGCTGACGGAGAAGCTGCCGGAAGCCATGTCAGAGATGCTGAACCTCGACGGCCTGGCTGACGTCAGGACCGACGCCTTGGTCTTCGAGGCCTTCGGCCGAGGCGAGTTCCAGCTCTGCTGCGAAGCGCTGGCCCTCGAGATGCAAGACGAGGATCGCCGGCACCTCACGTATGCTAATCTCATCGGCTACCATCTCAAAAAGGTGGAAATAAATGGTGCTGCCAGTACATGAGTATACACCCTTCGTGTGTGTTTCGATTTTCCACATGCGCTTGCTTGTTACTGTCTTCGGTCCCCTCCCCTATGCCCGAGCTCGGGTCGTTCTGACCTAGATCATGAGTCGAAGCCGAAGACGCGTTTTGGGCACGAGCATATGTCCTTACTGGAACCCGGAGCAAGGTCTTTTCGGAATGACACGGCTGATCGAGTCCACGATGAGTCGCCCGTCAGATGCTCGACCCTCCGGATCGAGCTGAGCTACGACATCACCAACATTGACTCTGAACTTCTGGAGATCGTACGTCTTCACGACTTTAAGGCTGCCAATGTGTTTAGTCTACTGTCATTCGTACGAAAGTGCGCGAGCGTATCTGCCAATAAGTCACCGACGACATCTTTCACCTTCCCATCTTGCCCATCACATCTACTCACCTCATCATATTGCACACTGAACAGCCTTGCTTCCGGTCCCCTGCAGAAATGAGCTGAGCTGTCACGTGGAACAAAACTGGGACGGTGCGTACGGTCTATACTCTGGTCATGAAATATCGAAGCGTGCGTAAGAGATCTCACTCTTGCCGGACAAGCTTCGTCTCTTTCGACCATCGTGCTACCTGGGACACCATGTCAAGTTGTTGAGATAAAGCCTGAAATTTGGACAACGGTGTTGAAATGGCGCATACTCATTCACTCACTCACAGAGCTCCCTCTATGCCCCTTTACAAACCACTCCCTTCCTCTTCCTTCTTGCCTTCCTTCATCTTATGGTGCTGAAAAAGATGACTGGACCCATTGACGAACTAGCGGATGTTGAACAATCTCCACTGCATATTGGCGTTCGCTCTTGTTCTATTGTACACATTCGGGCTAACTTGAAAGATGCCAGTTTACAGTAAAACTTGAATTGCCTGAACTTACGCTGAAATGTACATTGATACTGCACAGCACTGGCCCTACCATCGTTTGAGCCAGTTCTGTCCTGTTACACCTATTAAATAATTTAATGATAAAGTTAAATTATCATCATTTGTTATCACCGAGTCTTAGTGAGTTTGGGATCACGGCTTCTGAATTGAAATCTGGACTCGATGTGGAACACGGCAACACTTGATGGGTTTCCAAATGAACCCTAATGAATCATCCAACATTCCCTCTGCACCTAGAGTGCTCGTATGACTTCCGCTGGAAGTACTGTCATTCGATTGTGCCTACTGACGGAAGAAATAAGGTTTCGCTTCGTAGAGGAGAACATGCCTTGGGGTGCCTACTCTTCAGCAGCCCTTTTCATGTGATCACACGTTACGGAAACGTTCTACCGGGGAATGCGTTGGAAAGGTGCTTCTTCCACGTGGGACGAGTGGAAATTGATGTCCACCACGCTTTCACATGGGGCCTCTTATCGTAAATTTCACCTTTGCCTCCATCATTGATTAGGTAGTGAGTGAAGGGAATATGGGACAGATCTGCCAAACTGAAAAAATCTCCTGCCAGGTATTTGGACTTGGACAACACTCCTTCGTATACATCCAACACCTTCTCCAACTTCTGAAGACTGGTTGCTGCAATTGCCGGATCGCCTTGTTGACCGAAGAGGGGCGCGTGCACCAGGTGCCATACGGCAGGTGCTATCGCCGGGTTGTAATTCTGAGCTTCGACTTCCAACCATTGCTCGACCATGGCTCTGTCTTTCTCGGACGTCCCGTACAGTGGTGTGCCATGGCCTTCGTGCTTGCGAGCGATGTATCGGACGATAGCTCGAGACTCTGGACAGAGAAATTAATGTAATTTATGTTACTTATGTTCGTAAATTCACGTTCCTCGTCAAGAATTCCAATTTGTGGTCGATTAGGTTGTGATGTTAGATACGGAGTTGTCAGAGTGCTGTCAGTTCTATAACTCTATCTGCGTGCATGCCCACCCACATTTATAGTATTAAAGAGGTTTTGGCATGAGCTGCTCGCCGCACTTACCGAATACTTGAATGTCTTTGTCCTGGAGGACGGGAATCATTCCGAATGGCTGAACACAACGGAACGTACAATTTCAGTAAGTTTTGCGATATACAAGTCTATCGGTCGGTCGACAGTCGTCTGAGCCTACGGGCAGCACTTCTTTGTAAACAACATCAACAATCAGTCGGTCAAAGGTCGACCAGTAAACAAAGCTCTGGAGAAACGGAGGATCCAATCTCACCTGCATGGCCAGAAACTCCGGCTTCTTGTGGTCCTGAGTCTTGGCGATGTCGACCACCTGCAGGTCGTAGTCGACCTGCTTTTCCATGAGACACATGATGACTCTGCTAGTGCAAGTGGAGTAAGGAGCTCCGAAGAGCTTGACTTTTGGAACCACGGAACTGGCGGTCGCCATGTCGTGGTCGTGCTCGCAGCTCATGAAACCCACAGGTTCTGCAATTCACCACTATCTAATTAATTGCTCATCGAGACAGAGAAAGAAAGGGGAAAGATGCTCTTTCCCTGCACTCATCGATAAAGAAAGGCACGAAACGTCAGCCCCACTGTCAAGCGATGCAGCACGTAGTTCGGTCGACCATTTGGCGCGCGGCTCATGACGCTTCGCTCGCCCTCGTCAGACTCCCCAAACCGTCGCAATTCGAACTCGTCCGAATATTTACATCTTACGAAATTTCAGTCCCCATCCGATTCCACGGCATATGATGCGCCAAAAACTTTCTACCAAACGAATGATTCGATGAATGATGCTTTGGCCTTGCACTTGGCCCAAACGAGCGAAGCCTAAACCGCAGTCGAACGCGAATCCAAATGCAAACAAAATGCCGGATATTGCTTCAAGATGAGGCTCGATCTAAATTCCACGAGAAAGTACTGTATTTTCCATGGCTAGATCACGTTCGGGAAGAGCGACAAGAGCCTACTGCGCAGTCGATTCCTATGTTCTTACCAGGCTAATTGCTAATTGCAGTTTCTTACTCAGTAGTGGGAAGTACGCCGTACACACTGCTGGCACTAACTAACTGATCCTGATAGGCTTCAAGTAAAACATCTGAACAGCAATAGCTCTCAGCATCGAGGACCGTTAAGTCTATTCACAACAAGTACAGTACAGTACCACAGTACCTTGAGATAGGTTGATATCAGATCGTGTTGCAAATTACCATTTACCAAATTAAGATTGACTCTGGTGATTAACTGCGAATCAAGGGAATAACTCAAGTTACTGAATCCAAATTTTACACTTAGCATTAATCAGCCACCATCCGAGCGCAGCCCCATGCAATCAATTTGTTATGCATCGAAATGAGAATAGACTGCCCATATAACCTTAGTTTTTAAGTCCCACCGAATATATGAACCTAAATAATCAAGTTAAGATTTTTACGTAATTTTCATCAAGTCCACTGTCTGAACCGTGTAGAGTCTCATAAGCGCTGGAGATATGAAACCGTTTAATAATATATTACATACAAACTTTATTACAATCAGATATCATAAATTCATTATCAATGTATTCAACATTGAAAATTTTGAACCATTATGATTTTCGTAATTGCACATCAAATTGAAGGTTATGATTAGTAGCTTAATTTGCATTGAGTATACTACATAACATAAATTTACAGAAGTAAGTTAATAATAATCAATTCCATATTATGATCTGAAAATATATATTCAGTCAAGATTGAAATATCAATCTTTTGTATTATTCACTGTTTTCTTATATATTGAAAATATTAAAACACCATGTGATTACCAAAAAAAAAGTGCTCAGGATTTGAGAGGATCTAAATCTTGTCTTACATATTTTATTTTCCATCATTTGGTTGCTTTTGAAAACATCACCGTATCAAATTCAATGTTGTGACTATAAAAATAAAAGCCTGGAAAGCTAACATCTTCAACTAGATATTATATAGTATTGCTCATAATGTCATTCTAGATCATGAGTTTTCTGTCATAATAGATATAACATTTGTGATGAACATTAATAATATGTAGAAAGTGAACTCCATACATAAAAACTTTGCTCTTAATTACTTAACTTATCATCAAGTTCACAATATGACTACTGAAAATATGTTTTTGATTTTTTATTTATATTTTTGACTACTTTCTTTTCATATTGAAATTCATCAGCTTCAATAATTTCAAACTCAATTTGATGATACTTGTATCAAAAATCATGAAAAAAGCAACACGATACTTCAGACATGATTTATATTAATGAAATGAAACAAATACTACATAGAATATATCTCATATTAAGTTTTAAAAACTCATCATGAATTGAAAATTTCAATGTTTATCTTGAATGATTTAGGAGACAAGTTTTTAAATAAATGTTTCTTCAAATTCATTTGTTAAGGTTTTTATTTTTTATTTTAAAAATAAATTTAATATGATATTAATTATTATTTTTTAAATAAAATTTATACAAAATTTACATAGTAATAAACCATGAATCTTTTAAATCTTATAAAGATTTATTTCTTTTTTATTGAGTTTATCTTGAAAAATTAGAGAATACAATTTGATACTTGATTCAATATATTAAATTCGTTTATATAACTAAGTTAACCAAATTTTGGACTTTTAAAAATATTTTCATGGTCATATTATTTTTATAATGTTTGCATTTCTTTTTCTAAATTAATAAACTTGATATCAACCTATATATACTAACATTGAGCTAAATTAATCAAAATCATATAGACCTAATCTTAGCTTACATATTCATAATAATAATCAGAGTATTATCATGAGTTAATTCAAGTATTCTAGGTAATTAAAATTAGCTAGATTCGGATTTGAGTTCAAGATTCAATCAAAATCTAAACTAAAAATTCTACAAACTTATCATTACATAAAAACGCTAGTAAAAGCTTTTGGATGACACTTCTAGATTTTCTCAATAAAGTAAATTCTTTTGCACTCCATAACTTTAGAATTGAAACTCTTGTCTCTAATATAGTTGAGCATATGTGATTGTTTACAACAATGTCTCAACAATGTGGAGTTGTTAAACCATGTGATTGATTTTTTTAAATCACATTCATACAAAGATGGGCCTTATAAACTTGTACAACAGTTCAATGACATTAGTTTCAAGATAAAATTCAATTGTATCAATATAAATCTCTTGCATATTATAATTGGAGAAAAATATTGTATTAATTTTCTATCATTTTCTTTGCAAAAAAATATATTTTGAAGAGATAATGCATTTTTTAAATTGCAATGTTTTTTATCAAAATAATTTTTTAATTTTTCATTTGCAACCTTTTGCAATTATTGTGCACTTAGACAAAATTAGATGTATATTTGCAATAATGTTATGTAAAATATACTAGTCAAAAAAATCAACCATGAATTCAAGTCATTATTGCCAATCAATACTCCTTGTTAATCCAAAATAGACACAAGAAATTGAACAATATTATGCAAAATAAACATTGTGTTGGTGAAGAATAACAATTATTTTGATGCTTTTGTTAGTGTATCGTTACATTCATCCACCTTGTTGTATGTATGCTCTGTCAACAAAAACTTTGGAGCAATTTTCTATATCAAGTTCTAAATATTCTTTAAATGTATTCTCATCTCTCGTGCACTTGCACTAGGTTAGTATCAATATGTTGTACAATAAAAAAATAGTTTATTCTAACAGTTGAGAAGAGATCAAATGACAAATAAACAAAAATTATATAGTTTTAATATCTTCCTTACCTTTCTTTTATTGTCAAATATCTTGGATTTGTGAAATAATTGACATTTCAATTGGATTTGCGTTCCATTGGACTGCCAAAAGAGATGATTTCTACTTCACATAAAGAAATCATAGTGTAATAGAGTGATGAGGATGATAATTTAACAATATTTTGTTATCATTATTGATTAAAAAAGTTTGACTTACATTAGTTCAATTTTGTTGTGAGAATTATCCACAAATTGTGGTGAACTCTAATAAGTACAGATTATTGTGCTTCTATCCCTTAAGTATAAACTTCTTATCACTAGATTTGACATCTAACACGCCATGCCTAGAGCTCAAATCCAAACCACGTGAGTATAACATTCCTAGAGAGATCAAGTTCTTCCTCATATTAGGTATAAACACTAATTTTTTCATGTATAACATTTGGAATGTTAGTTGTTGAACTATCCAATATATTACAATGAATAATGCTCCATATTGACAACACTCAAATATTGTGAAGCAAGAGTACTTTGACACAAGATTGTGAATAGCAAAAAATGTGGATGATGTGGATGCCAAAAAGTGTAACTATGAGATATAAATTGAACTTGTTCATGAAGGACTTTGAAAAGTTAATTCATCAACTCGAAATTAAATGAAGATAAATAATATAAATTTGAGTTGATGATAAAGATTTACTTTACTCTAAGGTAGCTCCAATACAAGCAAAAAATAAGATTAAATAGTCTCAAAATTGTGTCATTGTGAGCGCATTATGAAAAAACTCATATAATCATAGAATTTGTTTAAGTATAATAAAATTTATCAAAATTCATTTGATATGTACTTATTACATGATAGACATGTTTATGAAAAATTGAATTGATGAAGCAAATTTGATTCAAGTTATATGTTACATGTTGAAAATTTGTTTATCATAATTAGCATTGTGAGTTCATAGCAAATATAACACTGCAGCAAAAAACTTCGCAAACTTTCAATTCTTATAAAATAGAACTTATTGATTGTATGAAAGAGATTGATTATTATCTAGTCCAAAATCTAAACAGAATTTGAGTATGTAAAAGAAATTTAAATTGAATTTAAATTATCATCAACTTTAAATTTTTCATTTTATATTTTGTACTCACGTTCTTGATATAATGTACATTTTAAAGCTCTAAAATCCAACTATGCTTTGATTCAATCGTTGAAAGTAATATGTTGAGCTGTAAAAAAATAATGATATTTACATCACACTCAAATCAATTGTTTTTACTTTTTTAAAACTAACATTGTTAGGTGTCATTTCATCATCTATATCTCACTCTCAAAAAAATTTATTTATGAGATAAAACATTCACACTTCCCCAACACACTTAATCATTGTATGTATGATTGAATTTGTTGAAAGTATACCATGATGCACAATATAATTATGTCAAAATTTTCTATTGTTTTATTACAAAATACTATCTATTTTTAATTTTCATAATCAATAAATATAATGATTGAAAATAATTCTTCATGTTTAGTTTCACATATAATTTAACATGATTAATCTAGTCAAGCACATAAATTAACTTTTCACATATATAGTTTTGGACATATTGGATAAAATTATCAATTATTATATAGCTTTGAAATTATTTCAATAATGTTTGAACAAATATATTTGTACTTGTTTTATGAAATATTATCAATATATTCATTGTAGCACAAGATAAATTTTGTATAATACACTACTTAGATTTTATCTACTGATAAATTGATTTCTGTTTTCACAAAAATGAAATTTATTTATATTTTCGAAAAAAAAGTGGACATTTAAATTTATTCCTATATAAAAATGTTGATTTTGATAAATCAATCATTTTCAAAATAATATGTTTAACTTTTAATATTTAAAAATTCAAAGAATCAAGAATAATACATCCAAATTCAAATGTTTCAAAATGATACAATTGGCAAATTGAAATTCATACTGTATAGTTAAAAGAAAAATACACTATACTAAATCTTAAGGCTTTACTATTAAAACAATCAATTGGATAATTGACTAAATAGAGTTTTTTATTCTTAGTATGATCAAAAAAATATGAGACGATGAATGTTGACAATATTTTTGATATAATAAGTAAAATAAAATATCTTGATTTTTTCATGTTCAATGACATACTCAATTCAGAATTTCACGTCATTTGTAGTCTAATCAAAGAACATATCTTGAACAACGATACAAATCAGATATTCTAAAAATTGAAGTCCTTGATTTTATCTTTTGAAACAATATTATGAATTATATGCTTAACATCATCTCAAGAATGTCTTTCAGTCATAAATCATCTAAATAGTGATTTTCATGTCTATATAGTAAAAAATAATTATATCAATTATTCTAATTATTTTTATTATGTCAAAACAATCTAACGTAATTGTATGTTAAGTGTAGTTTGCAGATTATCAACAATAAAATACGTGAGACGAAAAAAAATTCTAAACTTTCAGAGATACTAATTGAGAGTAATAAGTTGGAATGGAACACATAATCATACAAGAATAGTGATCCATTTTTTAACGTATAGGTATTATTTATTGTAATGAAATTTCCATAAAAATATAATAATTTTCATCATATAGATTTAAAAAATCATAGATGTTTATAATTTGTTGGGTTTTTTAAGACTTTAAATAATATAATTTGGATAATTAATCCTTATGCTAGAAACTAAAATTCTCAAACTAACAGACTACTAAAAGATTATTTTTTTAGTTCTACTCTTGTTAGTTGTACTATTTAGTGTACTATATATCAAATATTCTGTTGAAATTTTTCTTGATTAAACGAGGATTAGAAAGTTAAACCTCAATTAATTTGGAGGTGATTTCACTAAGATGACACCCGTATTTTTTTACAGTAACATTGTTAAGAATTTGTGTGAATATATATTTTGAAAATTTGAACTTTTTTCTTGCAGTATGTCAAATACATCCAGCTAGATGTATATCAAATTGATTGTCTCTTTTTACTCAATCTGTTTTAATGTAAGAAGCTATATCCACCTTCTTTGGGGCCTAAAAAATATTTAATATGAAGCAATAATATATATTAAGATGAAGTGATATAACCACATCCTTGACATACATTCTAAGAGTATTTAATTCTAAAATCACAAAACAGAAATAAAAAAGGCGAAATCCGTGACTAGATGATAAGAATGTTAGAAAGTATTTTATATTCTAGTAGGGCTTCATTCAAGCTTTCACATAAATTAAAATCTTATGAGGCAATGATTCCGTGTCAAATATTGAATGAAACATCATAAAGTTAAACAAGGTTGACATATCATCCTCATTATAAGTGACTGATATGATATGAATGAAACGCCATGATACGTATTCTCAGGAAGTCAAACAATGGAAAGCTGAATGTCACGCTACAATTTTTTTCAAATGAATCAGTCTATGCAACTCTTGCATAGGAAGAGGTTGATGGAACGGATGACTACTAGGATAAGTTCTCCCTCGGACATATGCAAGGAATCATCCCTCTAGCGTCCAAAGGCCGTGGGTCGTTTGGGTCGCCAACGAAATGTTCCAATTTCAAGTACCAAAATTGGGTCCAATGACGGGTATGCAAGTACCGGACGAGTAGAACCGGACGAGGGAATCAAAGTGGGCAAGGAACGTATCGCGAACCTGTACCGGACAGGAGCGGAGCCGTGCCAGCACCCAGTGCCGGGGCCCTGGATCACGGTGGAGCAGAGAGCCCCCGTCGGCCGCGTACTAGCACGTATGGCATTCGCGATAAATGTCGATTGTCGGGGCAGGACCCGTACGCGTACGTGCCTCATGGAGGGCTGTGGTTTGCCAGCACGGGGGCAGGGGATGAGCGCGGACGGGGGTGCAGACGGAGCGGCCAAATCGCATGGAGAATGCACAGCCAGATAAGACACGAGCTCCGGAAAAGCGCTTCCTCGGAACGGGGTTGCATACGGAACGCGAAGCTCGCGTGATGTTGGTGATCGGAGGTTTCGGTCCTGCAAGCCCGCGGCGAGCTCATCGAATCCCATGGCAGCTGCAGCGGCCTGTTCTGGAGTCTGGTGCCTCTGGAGCGCTAAGCTGGTAGCGCTGCATCAACGTGGGCGCGGGCAGGTGGGCGCTTGCGGCACTTTGGCTCGAGCTTATTGTCGAATTGAATCGAGTGCCAAGGGCGGCAGGGTTCACGAGAGCTCTGCTTCTGGTGCAGGCTTCGGCGCTGGGGCTGTCGTAGGAGCAGGAGGAGGGGCAGGGGCACGGCCTCTGTACGGTACAGGGAACGGTGGGCCCCTTGGAAGAGCAGCGCGTGCTGGATTCAAGATTCCGACTCCTTCTTGCGAGGGCTTTATAAGAGCCCCCCTGAGCTCGGGTGCGGGACCAGAGACCCGGCGGATTGTGGCGAGAGCAGGGGACGGACAGGGCGACGAGAACGATTCGATGACGACGACGACGACCAACAAATCGAGCGTGGCGGAGGAGCTCGTGGAATTCCTCAATGGGGCCTGTACCCCCTTCCACGCCGTCCGTGAGTGCCTTTTTTTTGTCCCAGCTGGAATTTCTCCCGCCGATTTCCTGGACCGAATGGCCGTTTCGTTTCCCCCTTTCGTCTATTTTGCTGCACGGATTCTGTTTCGCGTGCTCGGTGCTCGGCTCTCTGACCTTCTGGCATTGCCTCGATCTACTTCGATCGAGGAGTAGAGCTGTGCGGCGAAGTAGATGGACTGATTCGGCTTCCCCTCACCGTTTCCAGATGAGGCGAAGGTCAGGCTGAAGGAGGCTGGATACGAGCAGTTGTCCGAGAGGGAAGCATGGCCACTAAAGCCCGGTGGCAAGTACTACTTCACGCGAAATCATTCCACAATTGTGGCTTTTGCCATCGGAATGAGGTATGATTGTGGCCGGCTTTGAGTGAGCTCTGGCTAAAGGGCATCGAGCACTTGGATTCTCGAACTTTGAGTGTTTGAAGTTTATTCCAGTCTCAGGGTTCAGAAACTCAACTGTTGCGGAATTGGACGGTGCAGGTATGAAGCAGGAAATGGATTCTACGCAATTGGTTGTCACACTGATAGCCCTTGCCCGAAGCTGAAGCCAATTACAAAGGTAAACCCCTCCAGTCTGGGTCCTCATCTAAGCTGAGGGCGAGGTTTAGTCAGTCAGTTCCAGCAGCCCAATTTGTGTTTGCTCATGCTCAGAATCGCAGCGGCTTGAACTGATTTCCTCGTCCTTGGAGGGCTTCGGTCTTTCCAATCGGTGCCGCCAGAATGTCTACTTTATGAAGATTCGCAGTGGAGGTATTTATGACGTTTTTGTCTCAACCTCTGTCGTTTTGTTGCAGATATCCAAAGCCGGATTCTTGGAGGTTGGCGTGCAGATGTACGGAGGAGGCCTGTGGTACACGTGGTTCGATAGAGATTTGACAGTCGCCGGACGAGTTTTTGTTCAACGGGGAGAGAAAATCTCACACGAATTGGTCAGAGTTCCTCGACCGATTCTGAAAGTGCCTTCCCTGGCCATCCATCTGAACAGGTTCGTACTTTCCCTGGCTAAAGTACCGACTTTATGACATTCATGTCTGCTGAACAATGCACGCTTTTCAGAACGAGTTTCTCTCTTCGATGAGGGTTTTGTTCCGTTCCTAAGTTCAGTGTTCTGGCGCGCATGGAAAGAGAAAATATAGATGTTCTGGAAAACTAACATCTATATACAATGAAATAAATATATATGTATGTATGAGCTATTCATGAATGTTGTTTGCGGGAATGTTTGATCTACAAATTCAGCTGGTAATTGCGTTAACGCTCAAGTTGTTGCTCATGCAACAGAACTGTGAATGAAGGTTTCAAATTCAATCTCCAGACCAATTTTGTACCGATTTTGGCAACTGCCTTGAAGGTCAGATTTCACTTCCATCTCACGTACAGCCCTCGTTGTTGCGGCATCCAGTGTGCAGTACAGTCTTGAGGTTTCTGAGCTTAGTCATACTTGCCTTAGAATGTTCTGAGATGGATACTTCGTAAGTTGAGGAAAGCTGATTCGCCTAGGATGATGGTTCTTACTCTAGAAGCAAATGCTTGTTGACCTAGCTGGATGTTATATCTCCCACTTTCGAGAACATCTGTACTTCTTGGTTTCACATGGAGCCAAAAAAGAGTCCATAATGTTTCTTGCACCGTCATGTTTCCTTCAATTGTGTCACATGGGCTAATCGCATGTTTGGTTGACACAGGACGAGGCTAATAAGCTTGTCACCGTACCCGATTCGTCGAGTGAGTCTGCAGCTGGTTCCAACGGCACCGTCAAACAAAGTGTTGCCGACGGTGCTCATCATCCTCTATTACTGCAGGTAAGAGCAGAGCAATTTTAGGCTTCTATCGAAGTGAGAATATTTGTACGACTTTCATTTCTTATGATGAACAAACTAAATAAACTTCGGGACCTGACAATCTCTGCAAGAGAGATCAAGTACACGGACGCCAGAGAACGTTCAATGATCGATTCAAAGTCGCATCTAGTGTTTAAGAGTCGATGTGTTCGTTATTCACAGGTTCTCGCAGAGGAACTGAATTGTCAACCAAAAGACATTCTAAACTTTGAGCTGGACGTAATAGATACTCAACCGAGTGTGATCGGAGGCGCATTGAAAGAATTTATCTTTTCTGGCCGACTTGACAATCTCTGCAGTTCGTTCTGTGCTTTGAAAGTAAGCTCACTCATATCTTACCTTTGACTTGAAAACTCGCTTGAATTTTCATGAAATCTGGATGCATCAGAAATCTTTTCGCAGGGTGTTCAAACGATGCTTTTGACGTTGTCTCTGGGTGTACTAAAGTACATGAAATGTTGGATAACTGATCTAAGAGGACTGAAGGTTGCTGCTCTCACACGTTTAACGCCTTATTACGGGTTTCCTTATATCAGGCGCTTATTGATGCGACGTCAGGGAACTCATTGGATGAGGAAGTTGGGGTAAGAATGATCTCTCTTTTCGATCATGAAGAGATAGGATCGGCTTCTGCTCAAGGTGCAGGCTCACCTGTATTTATTGACACTCTGCAACGAGTGACAACGCAGTTCTCAGCTGCAGACAGTAAGGTGAGACATCTTATTTTGTTTCACCGAAAGAAATTAGGTGTACTATTCAAAACTGAATTTTTAGGCACACGTATATGTAATATCGGATGCGTCGTCAGGCGTCTGAAGTGTTGTGGTGGTTTTACTCACCAGGGAGTTTTCGAGCAAGGAGTCCAGAAGAGTTTCCTAGTGTCAGCAGACATGGCGCACTCTTTGCATCCTAATTATATGGTAAGTGCTCCCCAGGCCCTCCATCGATTATTCTAGTGTTTTGGATCTGATGAGTTGTTTTCCAGTGCAACGATGCATCCCGAATGTATGGGCAAGCCCACCGTGAATCTTCTCGGTTTAGGTGACCTTCAGCTTCTGTTTTTCTTGACGCAGGACAAGCACGATGACAATCATCAGCCACAGATCCATAAAGGTCTCGTTATCAAGCATAATTGTAACCAAAAGTATGCCACAAACTCTGCAACCGCTCTCATATTCCGGGAAATCGGTGCCCGTCATAACATACCCACTCAGGTAATATCTCCGCCCAGTATCTCTTCTATGAATCATGAAGTCTTTATCTCATCAGTTTAGTAGAGATGTAGGGAACACCTCCACAGAGGCCGTTGTAGAACTAGCTGTGATTGCAGCTGATAGGCGTGTTTGTCTGTGTTCCAGGAATTCGTGGTACGAAATGATATGGCTTGCGGATCTACTATAGGGCCCATAGTGGCTAGTGGAACAGGCATAAGAACGGTCGATGTAGGGGCTCCTCAGCTTTCTATGCACAGTATACGAGAGATGTGCGGAACGGATGATGTTGGATACACTTACCAACACTTCAAAGCATTCTTCGAAGAATTTTCAGAGCTTGATGGCAAAATATCTGCTGATGTATGATGGCATCCAAGTTATTGACAGTCATTGGGCTTCAGTAGAATCACCGACTGCTATTTAAGCAAGAACCGAATAGCAGTCGAATGCTGGATGCCTATCATTTGTAAATGTCGGTCAACGCTCAATGGATGCCATCGAGCTCTAGTGCCAAGTTTGAGAAAACTGTACACAAAGGTCAGGTCTACTGTTGTACTATCATCTTTGCCGGTCGTAGTAATATATGCACGAGTTCGCGACCCTGGTTCTATTGGGGAACAATGTTCTGAAAGAAGTTTTGACTTCTTTCAGAACCTATTTCAGAGCCTTGCTGCCTATTTCTCACATTCATCCTCTGACAATTGCAATCGTCCTATGTGAAACGTAGTGCAATAAGGCTGTTGTAATTTACACTGTCCGCAAGCATCTGGATTTCAAAGTTGTACAGTAACTAAGAAAGCAATAAATATGTTTGAATATGTCGATTCGGGACAAACTCAGATCAAATGAGCTTGTGCTACCGAAGTGACGGACAGCCAGAAGCCAAAAGAAAGTGCACTAAGGAATACTTGAGTGATAAAATCCTGCGCAATCCATCCCATCGGATGGATAATTACATTGCCCTGGGGTATGACGTCTGCCGTCGTCTACAGGCCTTTGTGCACTTTCAGTTCAAGGGAGCGTCTACGCTTGGACTTTGAGAAGACTGCAGATAGTCAGACTCAACTGACATGACTTAAGATGGTTCCAGTATCCTATATGATATACATTTACGAATATACTGACGTTGATACAGTATATTCGTAAATGTATATATTGGTGTTGTAAAGAGTAACGGCTGCATGGAGCCGTCTACGAGGTTTGTCCAGCTGAGTCAAGATCATGGCCGCAGGAAATGTGTTGGGTCGCTGATTGATAAGAATGTCGAGGAGACGGATGAGAGAGAGGATACTCCGGGCCTGTTTCTGAAAGGAAGGATTGTCATGATCTCGAAGCACTTTCCTGCAGTGGTGCTGGTGCTGTCGTTAGCGGCAGATTACGGTTTCCTGTGACTGACCTGAAGCTCTCTTACCTCATAGGCAGCACATCGTGCACATCATGAGGGGAGGGTGTTGAGGAACCAACACGATTCATGATTACACTGTCCTCTGCAATCTCGAACATCTATTGCTCACACCCTTGGAATGTACTTATGTTTCTTGAACCCAGCTCTGGCTGCATCGAAATCATTCGATACCAGTGGATTTGAAGCGTCATGTATTCATCACCGTCACAGTTATCTGGAACTGCCCATGAAGTTATTCTCGCAACATTATTCGATTAACTGACCCTCAAGTAAGTAAATACTCGGATGATTACGAAGAATATCGAGGCGCTCTCAGATAAGCAGCCGCTCGATGATGTTCAAACTTTAAACCGGTCCCACATCGCAGACGAGGAAGGCCCGAAGCTTCGTCGAACCGGCAGTGACTCGGTCCTGAACGCTGCGCTGAGATGGAATTGTGTAAGCCTGAAGTTAATTGATGGCTCCAAAGCTCCTTTGAGACTCGGGCGGGCTCCCGCGAGTGTCGCAGCTTACCGACCCGACCCACCACGTGAGGTTGTCACCAGGCATCAACTGCCCCCATTTTGTGCACGCGAAAAGCTCGACTCCATGACCATGACCGACTTGGCTTTGACAAAAGTCTGCACGTAGCCCAGATTCTCTAGCACTGTGCGTGTAATGCATTCTGTTAGTTCAGATCGGAACAATGCATGCAGATACTGTACTGTGAATTGTACAACGTGTACAAGGTGACAGTAGAGTACAGTTTTGTCATACCACCTGCAATGCAGACGACAGGGATATAGAATCATCGGGAAACTTATCGGCGAAGTCAGCACGTGCCTTTTACCGCGACAATGCTCAAAACTCCTTCGTAGTGAACGCAATTAAGTCCTCTTCACAAATCTGATGCCGTAGCAGAATATATACTGCAACTGATCAGAGCGTACTGGCATATCACACTAAAATTCACATGTCTGATGATATAAATCCTCTGATCTATGAGAGCCAAGTTAAACACCAAGAGTACCGTATTTTCTCTTCGGGACAGGTCGTTCAAGAAGTGGAATACAGAGGTTTCATTGTAATTCATCGAAAGGAATAATCTTGCACTAGCCACCGTAACTGGTGACTTTGTTCGCAATTAACCAGTACAGAGAGTTACCATAAATACTTGAAGATGGACCTGTACCATATCCAAAATTCTCGCTAAATTTGACGTACGGTGTCCAGAACTTAAGTTTGCACCTAATGCAGTTGCACTGACAAATACAACCGTAAAATTCTTCCTGTATGTAGAGCGCTCCACCAGAGAATAAAACCATATAACATGTAGAAGATCTTTGAGAGTAGAAATACTGAAGGTTTGGAGCTTGGAATCAGCAAATTTTACAAGCTGACCAAACAGAGAGACTCTCTTTGCAATATTCTCGAATACAAGCCGACTAAAAGTTTTTTAGAACTAATGTAAACCACAGCCATAATCTTCACTTAATTTGGGTGTTCGTTGTCCAGTTTCTTGAGTTTGCTCCAGAATTTGATATCAGAAACTACAGCCATCAAACTATTATCATCAATGGAGGGCTAGTAAAAAACAAATCTTAGAATTCCAGCAAGAAGGGGCCATAGAAGTGTGATCATGACTAGCAACAGTTTGAACCAGAAAATTACAAGCGCTATCTATAAACAGTTGTATGTCACATCTGAAAGGACCTAGTATTCTGCCATAGAAACATGGCAATCATTGAAGGATATCTAGTATGCAAACAACAAATTTCGGCTCACCGCAACACTATACCTGCCTATGTGTCCGTGCAGATGAAAATCAACTTTTCGAAAGTCAAGTTTTGTGCTCAAGCTTGTACGAAACTAACGACGAAGCAACGACTCGTGAACGCGGGACGCAAGGATTAAATAACCATGCTCCGACTTGCATGACTTTCGCGACGAAATGTCACTGTCATAAGGTATCTGACCGAGTTACAGCGTCCGCAGTGCCCAATTTGCTTCGAACTAAGGTTCCCCAGCCAATCTCCTCATTCTTCACCAGGACTAGGCGACTGCAGGCTCAGTAAGTCGAAGACGTCGACTGAAGCTCCGTGGGGTTTTTCAAACCGATCAATGGCATCGACACTGCGGACAGTCACAACCGATGAAGGTCCATGAAATATTAAAGGCTCCGTAGATCGAAACGGGCATCATAAACTTGTGATTGTCGATGTCTCCGGGGCGGATTGTGTAAAGAACATGTGGGCAGAGAGTATGATGATGAGGACAAACTCCCGCCATTCGGGGCCTTAATTGGACATTATCGCTCGGGTCAGGCCGAGGCTCAGAGAACGAACGAAGAAACTCTCGTGGTCTCTGTCACCTGCCAGGCAGCCCAAGACGAAGAAGCCCTACCTCCCATCGCTCGGAACGTCGACTCGGACCCGGGCCGCGGGTCCAGTCCAAGCCGCGCCTTCCGGCCCCCGTCGCACCTTCATAACTTCACACTCCACGAAACTCAATCATCTTCTTCCAGGAGCTTCTGCCGTCCGTCTGGCCGTTAGGCGTCCGTCCGTCCGTCAAGAGGTGCTAGGTGCAGTGACTTGGCCTTTTCCGCCGGGCTTCGTTCCCTCTTCCCGATAACATCTTTGCTACCGGTTACCGGTGATATCCCTTCTGCTCTCCAACGTTCCCAACTATAAAAAACCAACGAAATACTTCTTTGGGTTCTTCGGACGAACTGCGATCAGAGCTGAGCCCGTGAGAGCGACCGGCTGTGTCTGATCCCCGTGGGTTCGAACGGCCTTCGTATCGGAGTTCTCCGGTCCCCTCTCCGTCGGGCCCTTGTCGGGGAGAGTCCGCGTACTCTCCGGTCAACAGTCTCGAAGCGCGGGGGACCGAAAGTCTACTCTAAGCTCTGCTTCGTTTGAACTGCGAGAGGCCCAAGTTAAGCACGTGAGACACGTGGCATCGATCGTACAGGTTTCGAACTAGTATAAAGGTTTGTACCTCCACGAACGTCTTGTAGTACCCGACCGCGAGAGTTTTTCCGAAATACTTCCTTACTTGCGGTGAAGGTCAAAATCGTGCTCTTCCTCCCCCATCCCACCCCCAACCCCTCGGCTTGACTTTGGTGTCGAAGCTCCGGCGTTCAACGAACGGTACCTTACTCCCTTTCACACGCTTGTCGGCCTGATAACCTGACAGCTAGGAATTGCTGACATACTCCTGAATCCAATAATGTGTGTGATCCGCAGGCTCTTGGAGATTAATTAGTTCTTTTCGAGTTAAAGCTCCCGACTCTCTTCAGTTGAATTTCTATGATTACCCCCAAGAAATTGTTGAGATACAAGCCGGGCCTTGATCTTTGTATGACGCCAAAAAATAAGTAGATTCTAAATGAACGACTGGAAAAGCTTATGAGTATTGTTTGAGCCACAACCCTCAAAGTCATGCTTCATTCCTCGTGGATATGAGGCATGCCTATATGGACCAATTGAAGTCAAACTCATTACATAACATTTAATATAGTAAATATGTATTTATATAAATCTATAATTTGCTTTAAGAAACTTTTATATATATGTATGCCCATGATACATGTCCTTTGAAAATCACGATGGTTATGAACAAAAATATTTTTGATGTGACTCAGCATTCTCTCTATGACACATTTAGAGTGGAAGAGAGGGATTGAATCACAATTTGAATTGGTTATTCATCTCTAGCGGAGTTGTGTTTTATAAAACATATCATATTGATTGAATCTATTCTTTTATCAAATTTAGTATCTATTGTTATTAAATTTTAAGGAGAAAATTATTTGATGAGATTTATGTTTAACACACAATACTTATTTGTACCCAACACGTATCATTTTTCTGATAGTATCTCAATGAAAACATTGTCATCAATGTTCTAATATCGACTGAAGTTCTAAGCCCACATAATTGATTTCTAACATATAGAGCATGTTTAGAGTACAGCAGACGAGTCACACTCAAAAACGCCTCCAAGGGAGAAAGTAGGAAGGAGCATTAGTGAAGCAGCATTGAGGATAAGCTACGAAGCATTTTGAAAGCACATGAGGAAGTAATAGTTGACAATGAACGATAGAAGGGGAAAGGAAGATAGCAAAAAAAAAAGCATGAGAGTAGAGCGCTCATACTTGCAACAATTGCTAGCCATTTGAGACAAAATTGAATGAGCAAGTGTCGGAACACTATATCGTTTGAAGCATTCAATTAGCAAGTTTTTTGGCAAAAACTTCACTAATATAGACTTGAGTGTCTATTTCGGGAATCTTGTGAAGTACAAAGAGTATGAGGAGTTTTCAGATGTGGTATTTATCGAAACAAACCCAAAGTACAATCAAAATGACCTAAGATTGAAACCTCACAAAAAACCGAATCTAGACGTCAAAGTCAAATGTCATTAGCTTTCCGGATA